TAAGCCAATGAAAAGTCTTTAATACATCTATGATTAGTTTTAGAGGAATTAACATTTAACATGGGGCCCGGGTATCTGTAAAGGGGTATGAATACATTCTAAGATCCAGTTGAAGAGAACAGAATACATGGATGAAGTTGTGACTCAGTGGTTTAGATAAATACAACCAGCTGGGACAAACTGGACACGACTAAAGCAGATAAATGACCAGCTAATCTGCCTCTCTTCCTGTGAAACAGCAATCACAAATAACACGACTCCTTCTGTATTATTTTGAATAGTGCATAAACAATGCATATTGTAAGGAGAATCAATTGAGTACATATTTAGAACTCCAACAATTTATGTCATATCATGCTATGTGTCAGAAAATTATCTATTTAGGGCAGGAAGATAACTATGTACTAACTCACTATGTTTATCTTGTCTGACATCATTCTAAAGTATAAATAAGATCTGAATATTAGATCATTGTCCTTTGCCAGCCTGCAGTGACCCTTGCTTGACCTGTAACCACCTGCCTAAATGTTCCTGAGAGAAATCAGCTCACTCACATTTCATTAGCAAGAATCAAACTGTTTTTAAAAGTTTTGTTAGGTATTTGCTTTATTTTTTTTTTATTTATTTATTTTTTAAATTCTAACTAATCTAAAGTATGCCACAAACCTATTGGATGGACAAACTCTTGTTGTGGCGCTTTCTAAGGCATCTTTTGCCAATGTGATTAAAAAAATTGCATTTTTGACTCTCATTTACCACAGAGTCGAAAACGCATGTGTGAAACCTGACTCCAAATTTCCTCTGAAATTATGAGGAGCACCAAAATAACTATTGGGTTTGACATAAAGTATGAAAAAACAAAGTGTTACAAGGTCACACTTCAGAAATCTTTGTCTTTATGAAAAAAAAAAACAAAAAAAAAAAACATTTGACTCCCCTCCTTCAGAACTGAACGATGTTCGATGTACCACAAACTATACTGGATTACAGAATTTACGTAAATATAAAATAGACAATAAAAGATAGACAAACAGATAATGTGAATGTTAATTAAAAAAATAATCGAAACCAATTTATTTCTATAACTTTGTGAAGGTGTGCAGAGTAAAAGTCTTACCTTGAACTTTTATCTGAAGAGGAGCAGAACAAGCTGTTGCCTTGTATTCACCTCTCTGGACTCTGAGGAAGTATTTGGTTTCTTGTGTTGTCTTGATACCAGAAAACACAGTGGTGCAGTTTTTCTGATTTATGTTTCCAACAATATTTATTTCATGGTTATTAACTCCCTGACTGATGTCAAAAATACTCTTAGTACTTGGAATCCATGCAGCAGAGGGTGTTCCTCCATTGTTAAATTTGTTTTCTCTTTGTTGAAATGTGAAGCTACATGGGACATGCAAACACGATCCACTCAGTGCTTCAATGGGATTTGGTGTTTTAATGACAAAGTCAGCTGTATGACCACCACATCGCTCAGCATTAACACCTGTAAAAACAGACTGTAGATGAACATAATGTGGAGCAAAATCTGTCAGCAGAGAAAGTTCATGATCAACAAACTGCAGTTCAGCTGCATCATGTTACTTATAGAGCATTTCAGCGAAGTCAGAATCAAAAGATTTAGACTAAAGTGATTCATGTGATGTCTCACATTCTCCAAATGAAAGGAAGCAAACAAACATCTCACCTGGAAGAAAGAAGACACTCAGTAACATGTTGACTGTCAACATGTTCTCAGACAGAGTCGCCATCAGACTCTGATGAGTCAGTAAACAAAACTGAATACCAAATAACAAACAGAAGAAACATTTTGAATCAAACTTTGAAAATAAGAGTATATAGATATTTTTTAGCAGACTGTGCTAAACAGATTTTAAGCTGGAAAAGTTAAATGAAGTTTAATTTTCTTACCAAATTACTTGACTTCCAATATAAGATCTTGTGGTGAATCGGGTCAATTTCACACAGCAGGAGATCAAACA